AAAGCAGGTGAGAGAGAGGTAAGAGGGAGGAAGGAGGATGGGAGGAAGGTAAGAGGAAGAAAGAGGGATGAGGGAGGGAGGGAGGAAGGCAGGTGAGAGGGAGGTAAGAGGGAGGAAGGAGGATGGGAGGAAGGAGGAAGGAAGGAAGGAAGGGGAGGGAGGGAGGGAGGAAAGCAGGAGGAGGGAAAGAAGGAAGGAAGGCAGGAAGTCACAATTTGGCAAATTCTCAGTTGCCTGAGCCACCGTGCTCCCTCTTTTTCAAGGGAGCGTGAAATTCTTTTCTTCACTTTTCTCCTTAGGAGCTCTTGCCCTCCTGTCTGCTTTTGATTTCCCTGCTGCCATCAAGAGAAGCGATGGGCCTTTGATTCAGAAAATGAAGGCTTGGTAATTTGCCTTTACCTCCGAGTGAAATGAGATCATCAACTCTTCCCAGGACAATCAGAAGGAATCTGTTTCACAGAATGGTAATAATGCAAATGCGTCTTGCAACCTCAAGCAGGGAGTGTTCAGGCATGGAAAAATAAAATGCAGAGAGGGGAATGAACAAGTCATTCCCCTCCCTCTCTCCCTCCCTCTCTCCCTTCCTTCTCCCTCCCTCCCTCCCTTCCTCCCTTAATAGACAGGTGATGAGAGTCCCACAGAATAACAGAGTTAAAAGGGACCTGTCCAACTCAGAAGTCCAACTTCAACCTCAGGAGTATACCATTTCAGATAAATGGCTGTCCAATCTCTTCTTTAAAACCTGCATTTCTCCTTAGTTCCAGGTTGCTTCTCTCCTTGATTAGTTTCCATCCGTTGCTTCTTGTCCTGCCTTCAGGTGCTTTGGAGAATAGCTTGACTCCCTCTTCTTTGGGGGCAGCCCCTCAAATGTTGGAGCGCTGCTATCACGTCATCCCTAGTCCTTCTTTTCACTAGACCAGACAAACCCAATTCCTGCAACCGCTCTTTATATCTTTTAGCCTCCAGCTCCCTAATCCTCTTTGTTGCTCTTCTCTGTGTTCTTTCTTGCCTTAAAAACCCAGTCATCCCCTTGACTCAGCCTTGTTTCCTTCGTCCAAGGTTTAAGTGGTCCTTTTTTAAAAAAATTATGTCCTTGTAAAGGCATCCAATTTAGGATTCCCCACACAGTACATTGTGTAGAGCAGATATTAAGTCAACAGAAGGAGAACGGTGGGCTAGATTTTAGGAGAGCAACCTTCATTTCCTGTTCAGGAAACCCATTTTCTTTAAACAAAACACACACACACACACACAAAACTGATCTAAATTGCACTGCAGTGGAAGGCTGATCGATTTAGCATCGGTTAATTGAATCACAATCTGTCTTGGACCATTCCAGTCATGGACGATTCTTTCCAGGCATGGTCTCCATTGAGAAAAGCCATTTATAAAGCAAACAAATCAGTATTCTGAAGTTATCCAGCTTTCAGGAAAGATATCTAGAAGAAGAAGGTATTATTAAAACATAAGCTTGCACCAAAGCTCGGAGGTGATCTATGCATTCCAAGATATGATTATCTCGGCCCAAGACTTCTGAGCTGGCTATTCACCTAGCTGGATCCATTAATTAAAATTCTAAAGAGCAAAGAGCTTGGCGGAGATGGGGATTTTATTTTATTTATTTATTTTGGTCTCCTTCGGCTTCCCTGATGGGCAAAAAGGTGAACGGAGCCGGAATGAATTTTTGACTAGGCACACACACATTTGGCTGGATGAGTTCTCACCTCTGACATTCTCCTGATGGGAAAACAATGCATGAAAGAAATCTACAGGCTGTTTTGCAGAGATGAGAAAAAACAGGCTCCTGGAAACAAAGAGGAATTGGGGGGAGGGCTTTGGAAATGATGTCAACATAGCAGGTCTCCCAGCCCCCCAGTTTCCATTTCTGTAACCTTCACGAACCTTTTACGGATCTGAAAGGTTGTCCTACGGAAGATAGACATGTAAGGGCCCACAGATCGCTCTTCTCCTTCCAGAGGTGTCTTGTTTTGTCTTCTTGTCAGGTGGAGACTGACTCTGAGGGAGAAGAGCAACAGCCAACAGGGAGTGGAAGTGTGGCGCCGGAGGTTGTGGAGGAGGCTGGGGAAGGGCAGAGTCCGGCTGGGCAGTCAGAGGAGGACCCAGGCCCATCCCCTCTCCGTCCTAGGGCACGCAGGGAGGAGAGGATAAGGGAGAGATGTGAATGGCATGGTCTATGGGGGAGGAAAGGGCCTTGATCTCTTCATGGGCTGCAGCTGTGACAACTGAATAAGAGGACAGACATGTGTATGGGTGAATGCTGGAAACAAAGCATGGAAATATCTCTAGTTTATGGTTCCTCTCTGAGTTTGCCGTCCTTCCCAGTGTGTGTTCTGTTATCTGTGGACGTCCACCAGCCCTTATCTTGCCTGGTTTGTGTTGTTTTTTTCCCTCCTTCTTGTAACTGCTTGTGTGGGAGTTTTTTGTCTTCCGTCAAGGACATTTAGAGCTTGGAAGCAAAGTGAAGGAATAAAAGGGGCTTCACTGGGTTTTTGTGACTGTGTTTATTTTGTATCCCACCCTGGTTCATCACACTTCTCTTCAAAATACAGAAGCAGGTCATGGGTGCTTCATCTCTGGAGATGTTCAAGAAGAGACTGGGCACACTTGTCTGGACTAGTATAGGTTCTCCTGCTTGAGCAAGAGATTGGACTAGAAGACCTCCAAGCTCCCTTCTAACTCTCTTATTCTGTCGTCTGATCTCCATCTGAGCATCTACTTCAGGAACAGTAGCTTAAGTTGGAGGTTCCTGGTTCCCAGCTTTTTTCCTGGAAATTCTGCACTTAGACCTAGAGTAAAAATATTTCCCCACAAAGACTTCTGCAGAAAATCTCTTGCTTTGGAGTGTCAAGATCCCCATGAGAATTCTTCGGCGGATGGTAAAATCGAACTTCTGTAGATGGAGGATCTACCCAAGTTCTAACGTTCCTGAGGAGCCATTCAATACTCAATGTCCTTGGATTGAGATCACTGAAAAAGGAAGCCAGGGCCAAGTCTACTTCCCATGATCTCCAAGTCTACTCCTTGAGCCCATTGGGAAGAAATTATTAACACATAAGTTTCTTTTCAAACTCACAAAGTGGACCGATGAGGTGGACCGGTTGCTTTCGTAGTGTGGAGACAATAACTTGGTCCTTAACACTAATAAGACCAAGAAGCTTATAGTGGACTACAGAAGGAACAGATCAGACCTCCAGCCCTTGCTTATCAGTGGAGACCAAGTGGAGCAAGTGGGGAGTTTTAAGTTTCTGGGTGTTTCCATAAAAGAGGACCTGACCTGGGGGGCTCACATTGCAGCCCTGGTCAAAAGGGCCCAGCAGAGATTATACTACCTGAGGCTTCTCAGAAAACAACAACTGAATGAAAAACTGCTGGTGACCTTCTACTGCTGTACCATAGAGAACATTTTAACCTACTGCACCTCTGTATGGTTTGCCAATTGCACCATGACAGATAGGAAAGCACTCCAGAGGGTTAATGCCATTGCCCAGAAGATCATGGGTTGCCCTCACCCCTCTTTGGAAGAGCTTTAGAGCTCCCGCTGCCTTAAGAAAGTTCAAAACATTCTCAAAGATCCATCTCATCCTGGGAACCCTTTTTTTGAACTATGACCATCTGGTAGACAGTACAGAATAATAAAAACAAGGACAAATAGGTGGAAAACAGCTTCTATCCCAGGGCAGTCGCTCTTTTGAATTCTGCTGTATAGTGCAGTGTTGGTGTGGTGTTGGGGGTTTCCGGTTCAATGTGTGGAGGGTGAAGGATGTGTGTTTGGGTTTATTTTCATGATCATGATGTGCACTGAAGATGGTGTTTGATTTCGTTGTATGTGGTGCAAGGACAATAAAGTAAACTAAACTAAATCCTATTAGTAATATGGAGCTGTTCCCATACTCCATAAGCAGTGACATTACCCACTTTCTTCAGGGCTGTTGTAACTTCAAACGGTCACTAAACGAACTGTTTTTAAGCCGAGGACTACCTGTACTTAAATCTTGAGTAGCCTTACCAGACTCCCCCCAAAAAAGCAGATGCTGCTAGGACAAAATCAATATGGTCAATTAAAATTTAATGCCAAATGAATGAAATGCAGCCGATTGGATGAGTCCCCGGGTATTGAAAGAATGCCACCCTTCCAACCCATTGGAAAAATTACAACTGGACGGAAATGTTTGGAAAGTCCTTAGAAGTTGCGCCTTAACCCTGGAGTGGCAGGTACCATTTGAACATCACAGCTGTGACAGACACCCCCCCACACACACACACCCATCCCCCAAATTCAAAGCACCTCTCGCCTCCCAGCATTCCTTTCTGCAAGTTGATGTGAAGGTAGGGCTGAAAGACACACAACCTCCGTCTTCTCATTCCAATTTCAGCAGCAAGAAAGAATGGCGCTCTTTTGATCAACCGGCATCCAAGTCAACTTGTTGGAAAACAGGTTGTGTGTATCAGGTTCTTTTTGTGTGTGGGGAGGGCAGTGTTGTTTATTTACAGGGTGTTCGTTGTTGCCTTTGGGGTGCTTTCGTAATAAAGTCAATCAGACATGCTGAAGTTGTGTGTGACTTCCAGGTTCCTCAGGATAGGAAGCGCAGTAGAAAAGGCACGTGGGGTCTGCTCACCACAAGTGGAGTTGTGCATCCAGCCAGCAACTTAAAGCTACAAAATCCACCTGGAATGGGACCCTCTTCAACGAGGCACAAGATCCACCCCTCCTAGCCAATCCACCCCAAATATGGCTACCCTCCCTGTTCTCACCCCCACCCCCAGTTCCATGAGACCCAAAGCCAAAGTTTTCTCTCTCTCTCCCTCTCCCTCTCCTTTATCCATCCAGAAAGAAACATGAGAAAACTTGGAGAAGTCTTTCTTGGTCGCCCAACGAGACAAGGATAGGTTGGAGTCACTTCGGATTGATCCGGGGCAGGTAAAGGCTGAACCTCCTTCAGAATCAACCCAACTAAGTCTATCGAGGAACGAGTCCTAGATCAGTGTCCTCTAGATCAGCCTTTTTTGACATTGACAAGACCAATCCACGTTGTTCCTTTAAAAAAAAAAAAAAGTAAGAATAACACCCCAAAACCGTATGTTGGCTTTCTTCTTATAGCCATCCTGGTTTCTTTGTCTGAATCCTATTTTAATCTACCCAACCATTGGAGAGATTAAGCACATGGGATTTGGAGAAGAGACATCCTTTGTACTTTGACGCTTGGAAAATCAATGCCTTCCATGTTTTATCCAGTTTCTGATCATCCATTTTTGCCCCGAGCATCTCTGTACTACCAATCTAAGTCCAAAGTTGGCATCTTTAGACATTTCTACTTCCAGACACCGGCCTGTATCTCGGTTGATGATGGGGCCATTCTGTAAGGAAGGAAGATGAAGGAGTGTGAGCTTTCATACTTTTCGAAGAGGGGCAAAGAAAAGCAAAAATAATACAAATCAGCCCCCAAACATATTGCAGGATGAAGTAAACCCTACAGTCCATTTGGTGAGGTAGATTTCAGACAGATTGTCAACTCATAAACTCATTTCTATGGTCTTTTTAGAGTTGCCAACAAAAAGGGAGGGGGAAGCAGTGCAGCAGCTTGCAAACCGAAAGTGCATTCCATAAATAGTTTTCAAAGATAGTAACTAGGTGACTGAAGTTTCTGCCAAGCAAAATTCTAACTGGAGAGCATGATTGATGACTGGGCTATGGAGGTGTCCCATTGGAGAATATGAATTATGATACAGGGGGTAGGGGAAAACCAAGGTCAAGGGTGACAATGAATGATGTATCTCAGAGTCGACTACACCCAGGCAATGCTGGACATGTTAACTCCTAATAAATCCTTTTGCAGTTTTGGAATTCATGGTTTAATTGGGGTAACTGCCAGAATCTTGACACAGATATTCATAAAAAGGCAGAGAAGGTGATCATCATTAAGAACAAGGGTCTTCAAACTTGGCAAGTTTAAGACTTACGGACTACAACTCCCAGAATTCCTGAGCTAACATGACTGGAGGAGGAATTCTAGGAGTTGAAATCCACAAGTCTTAAAGCTGTCAAGTTTGAGGACCCCTGATTAAGAAGCTCAAATCCCAGCATTGTTCAGCGATTATCAGCTAATGATGTCTACAGTGTTTCAGATCTTTCCCTGGCCTCAATTTTTGACCCTCACATTTTTATTATTGGCCTCCAGCTGGTATCAAACGGAGGGAAGGGTTGTGCAAAATTTAAAAAGAAGCTACATCTAATTAATTAGCAGTGGTCCCACATTTTTCCGTAAAGTGAGCTTAAGAATTAGAGGTGCCATCAAGGTAGGACAAGATAGGCACCTCCTGTTGGCTTTAGCAGGGAAGTGATCCGTATACACCATTGAAAGTCTTTTCTTATAAAATTATCAAGTCAGGATCTTAAATAATGGACTAGTCCTAACTAGATTCAAGTCCCATGCAATAAACCATCATTTGAATCTAGAATAACAGATTTGAAGAGACTTGGGGGAGGGGTTTAGCCTCCAGTCCCCTCATCATCCTGGTTGCTGCATTCTTCCTAGCGTAGCTGTCTAGTGAGATATCTCAAACAGAACAGAATAAGAATTGGAAGGGACCTTGGAGGTCTTCTAGTCCAGCCCCCTGTCCAAGCAGAAGACCCTACCACCATTTCTGACAGATGGCAGTCCAGTCTCTTCTGAACGCTTCCGGTGACGAAGCTCCCACAACTTCCGAAGGCAAGTCATTCCATTAAATATAGAATAACACAGTTGGAAGGGACCTTGTAGGTCATTTAGTCCAACCCCCTACCCAAGCAGGAGACCCTACCCTATTTCTGACAGAGGGCAGTCCAGCCTCTTCTTGAAAGCTTCCAGTGATGAAGCTCCCACAACTTCCGAAGGCAACTTCTGTGCCATGGGTTGATTGTTCTCACTGCCAGAAAATTCCTCCTTATTTCCAGGTTGAATCTCTCCTTGGTCAGTTTCCATCCATCGTTCCTTATCTGGCCTTTGGGTGCTTTGGAGAATAGCTTGACTCCTTCCTCCTCTCTGTGGCAGCCCCTCAAATACTGGAAGGCTGCTCTCCTGTCTCCCCTGGTCCTTCTCTTCCCTAGACTAGCCAGGCCCAGTTCTAGCAATCATTCGTCATACACTTCAGCCTGTTTATTTACTCCTAAATATATTTAGAGATACATTGAACTGCATCATTCTTAGCAACCGAGCGCAAGGATCATTATCAGAACATATTTGGTCCCAGGCTTCTGAACTCTCAAATTCGCAAGCCAGACCTGAATAGCACTTAAATTGCTACTAGATGGAGTGAGGAGGAAACACCCTCCTATCTCAGATGAAAATTGGAAAAGAAAAAAAGAAAAAGCAAAATATGGAAATTGCACGCTGTAGGATCTAGAAGGGAAAGAAAAATCGGTTTTCTGGGATGACTGCGCTGACAATGGAGGAGATAGGCAGAATATTGGGTTTTCAAAAAAGGAGAATGTGGAGACCTGAGCACAGTGTTACTTGCTGGTGTGGAGAAGAATTTAAAATGCTTGGCTTTGTGTGTTCAAAAAAAATTGAACAAGAGGAAAAGGCTGCCTCGGAGTGAGTATGCCATGAAAAAAAAAAAGACAGGTGAGGGAAGAGATTAAAATATGCAGTTTTCTCCTTCAAAAACCAAAAAAAATTCTACTCTTAGGAACTGGCATTGCTTGGGGGCATCAAGAGAAGGGAGTCAAAAATAAAAATGTAGTAATCAAAATGACTGATTGCTTTATCTCCCTTAAATGGAAAAAATCAAATTGTTTGAGACTCTTCATAATAATAGGAACGAGCTGGGGAATATTTCTGCACGTGGCTGTGTTCTTTTTCATGTATGTTTTCCCTTTCCTGTCGTCGTACCCTCCATGCTGGCTAGAGCTAAAAGCCCAATTTCATTTCAGCCGCCATGTTAGCTCCCAGAATTCCATCAAACACCTAGAATCCTGAGCTCCCAGAATTCTCAGCCTTTACAAAGTTCCCAGAATCCCATGGAAAAAACTCCCGTGGTGGTTGTAGGAACAGGAATCTCAGCACATTTGGAAAGCAGTAAGTTGGCAATGACTTGGGAAGTGTAATACTGGAACAGAATAAAATTTCTCTTCTAGTTCTTCACTTATAATTGTAGGGTGGGTTATGGGGGAAAAAGTAGCTTTCTCTTTGTGTCTCTTCTGTTTGTGTCTCTTCTGTTTGTGGGGTTTTCTTGGTTGCTCTCTGAGCTTGATAGTTTTCTTGCAAACGTTTCATGACCCAACTAGGCAACATCATCACTGCTAGAAGGGAGTGGGGTTTGGGAGGAGGGGGAGGAGGACTGTGGGGTCCTTGATGCTCTCTGAGCTTGGTGGTTTTCTTGCAAATGTTTCACTGCTAGAAGAGAGTGGGGACAAATGGATAGCATTGACCTAGTTGGGTTGTGAAACCTCTGCAAAAAAAAACAGCCAAGTTTAGAGTGCACCAAGGATCCTACAGTTCTTCTCCTCCTTACCCCACTTCCTTCTTCCTTCTGCAAACCCCACTCCCTTCTAGCACTGATTATGTTGCCTAGTTGGGTTATGAGATGTCTGCAAGAAAATCACCAAGCTCAGGGATAACCAAGGGCGCCACAGTTCTCCTCCTTCCTTTCTAGCACTGATAATATTGCCAAGTTCGGTCATGAAACGTCTGCAAGAAAACAACCTAGCTCAGGGAGCACTAAGGACCCCAACGTTGTCCTCCTCCTCTATGCAAACCTCATGTCCTTCTAGCACTGATGATGTTCCCTACTTGGGTCATGAAATGTCTGCAAGAAAGCAACCAAGCTCAGAGAGCACCAAGGATCCCACAGTTCCTCCCTCAGCTACAAATACCCTCTTCCATAGGTATCCCTCATAGCTATATATTCTGACATGCCTGTCATACCTGTGTGAAGTCCCAGAGTCTCTGAGTTGGTCTCAGCGTATCTTCGCATTTCTTCAGTGCGGGGGTCCTTCCTTTCCCATCATCTATGAGACATTTTGAGTCAGGTAGGAACGCTGTGGATCCCATTGGGCCCAGTTGCAACAATCCTTCGGTGCTGTAACGGACGAGCTGAGACCGAAACCAAAGCAAAGGTCATAAGATCATGGTTAAGTCCACCGCAACCATGAATGCAACAAGAGAGCTTTTGGAAATGTAGCTCTCGTCTCGCTTTTCAAATCCCCGCCTCTTTAAAATAGTCCCTCCTCACCGAAACCCATGAGGTTTTGACTTTGTGGCCAATGGACTCAGGCCTGTTTTACATCAAAGGCGACCCTAGTTTGGTTAGAGGTTCCTCAAGACTTTGTGGTGCCTTTCTAAACCTCCAGCCCCAAATCTAATTTATGTCAGAATATTCACGAACTGGCAGAGACATCATGGTAACAAGGTCAGCCAATGAGGGCTGCTTTTGGAAACAGAAACTTAAGGAAGGAGTCTGGGTGTGGCTTCAGCTCTAAAACGAAACTAATCTGGACTAGTCTGTCTGCTAACCGAAACTTGCTTACAATCTCCCCTCTACCACGTTGGAAGAATCTGCTGTTGGTATTGTAAATTTACTTCATGTGTTATGTATATAAAGAAGTTAATGAATCCTACTGAATCAGTTATCTGTGTGTGCTTTCTGGATTTGATTTTCTGCAACATGCTCAAACTCCATAGCTTGAGAATCGGTTCTCCTTCTCAAAAGTGAAGGTCTCCATCAAGCTTGACGATGACTGATAGGCCAAGTGCTGGTAGAGTGGAATGGTTGGAAAGTGACAGTTGGAAGATAATGGACACTGAAAATGGAGCCGAGCTGGGCATCCTGGAGTGAGGAAAAGTGCGGGAGGAGTAATACCTCCTTAAAAAACTTTGATCCAGCTGGCCCGGCTGGTAGCACCTCGTAAAGGCCCCTTTCCAGGGTTACAGGAGAAGATGGTCAACAGTTTTGAAGGTGGAAGAGGGCTCTACGCCCCAACGGCAGATAAACGGTAGAAGCATCTTCTAGGAGAAGGGAAACTCTGATTTCAAACCTCCACTGCCTTGTGGCTGTGTCTATTATTGGAAAAGGCTTCAGGAATCAACCTTGAGGCAAAATCCAGGGCTGGAGCCCCGGAAGCAGTTCGTGACTGTGTACAATCACGTTCTGGTAACTCCTGCGGCGCAGCCGGAACTAACCGTATTGGCTCTGCTGTTCCATTAGACTATTTCAGTGACTTGGAGAGGGGAGGATCTGCTGCTTGGGTAACAGTTTATCCTCCATATGGAATTACTCATGCCTCGTGCTCTGGAGAGGCACTCCAGCTTTGCACACAGCATTGAAACAACACAGGACGTGGCAGTTGCCAGTTTCCTAGCACGATACCATTGTCTCTTGAGACTAAGGATGCCAAGCTTGACTTCAAAAGAACATTTTTTTTACCTGGGAAGACATTCCGTGGCACGGATAGAGGATCGCTTTATTGTCATCTTCTGCGCCCTGGTCCAAGCAGTAGCCACTGGCTTTGCTGTTGCGTACCTGAAATCAAAACCAGGGTAGATGAGAAATGAAGGGGGAAGAAAGAAAAGAAAAGGAAGAAGGTAGGGGAGGAAAGAAGAAAAGGAGAAAGGAAGAGAGAGAAAGAGTGAAAAAAAGAGAAAGGAAAAAAAGAGAGGAAGAAGAGGAAGGAGGAGAAAGACAGACAAGATTCTCAGTCATCCAGATCAAAGGTGCTTTTTCAAGAGACAACTGGAAAAGGAAGGAAGGAAGGAAGGAAGGAAGGAAGGAAGGAAGAAAGAAAAAGAAAGAAAGAAAGAAAGAAAGAAAGAAAGAAAGAAAGAAAGAAAGAAAGAAAGAAAGGAAAGAGAGAGAGAGAAAAAGAAGAAAGAGGTACATCTAAAACATTTTTGCCATACACTAAATAAATACCACTTTGGTAATTGATGGATTCCCTCTTTGAAGTTAGACCAATGTTATGGACCATGGATGGAGACTCAACCCATGTCTCCTCCTCCTGAAACCATGATATCACTCTTGTCTCCTATCTAACGAGTGCCCGGCTTCCTTCCGCTCTGATAAACCAGAAATCAAAACCAAATTGTACCAAGTGAATGCTTTCTTATCTCATTTCCCAGCCAACAGTCCTTCCCCCCTCCCCCCCAGAAAAATCAGCACCTCCACCCAGTGCAATAAAAACTGAAGGATGATTTAAATAAATAAGGCAAAACTCTCCAGGATCAAACGTGGCTCGATGAGATGAGCATCTCAAGAAGCGATTGGAATCATCTCCTCTGAAAGACGATGTAAAATATCGTTTCATCGCACGTCACAAATTCCAAGGTCAGGAAGCACTGGAGTCCTTCGTCTTCCCAAAATGTGCTGCCAGCATTTAAGTGGGACCAGTGTTGCTTTACGACACACGGGATGTTATTCAGGAGTGAAGATGTGCTGGGGTTTGGTTTGGTTTTTATGACCCAGGCTTTATAAAAAAAAATATAGAGTGTTTCGATGGATGGGAAATATATTTTTACAGCCTCTCGGTATGTTTTATATCCTTCCTCGTATATTTAGTTGCTCCGTTGACAAGAGGCCAAAGACAACGAGGCTGGTTTTTTATTAGGATGTCTTTGAACAGGAAAATAAAAATAATAATGGGGAAGCTATCTTCCAAATCGCAATTCCAGGAGACAACCGGCGAGAAACTGTCTGGTTATACATCACACACATAACTTGATTAGCAATTACAGCTGGGCAGCATAAATATCAGCACCAAGTCAAAATTGCCTTGGCCATTTCTCAAAAATGCCTTTTCCCCTGTTGAAAGCAGCTTCCTCTCTTTGTGCCTACTTCCTTCTTCAGGCTCTTGAGGATTATTTCTGAGTTTATGGGGGGTGTTTTTCAGCTGGAGTGTGGGAGCGGGGAACACACTTCCTTTGATGTGACTCTATATCGCTCTGCAGCATCTCTTATTAGAGAGACAGTTTGGTCTAATAGTTAAGGCGCCTGGCTAGGAACCAGAAGATGGGGAGTTCTAGTCCTGTATTAGGCCTGAAAGCCAGTTGGGTGACTTTGGGCCAGTCACTGGGAGTTCTAGTCCTGTCTTAGGCCTGAAAGCCGGTTGGGTGACTTTGGGCCAGTCACTGGGAGTTCTGGTCCTGTCTTAGGCCTGAAAGCCGGTTGGGTGACTTTGGGCCAGTCA